AATGTTATAAAACATGCCCAGATGTGGCGTTGAACAACGAATCTCTAGCTTCTGAAGCAAGTGCGCTAATCATTGCGCTACGACTGCTCGTTTTGGTAAATGGTTTGATAAATTTGACAAATGTAGAAATCATATAAAAGAAACAAACTACTTGCCAGAATTAGAGATAGACTGAGGTTATACTTTAATAAAAATTTTTACATTTTTTTACTGTAAAATTTGAAAACTAACCAGTTTACGTGGAAGAATCAGAACAAGAAGAAATAGTAAGTTTTCTAAGTTGCATTTACCCCATAAAATAATGTGTAATTTTTGCATTTTAAACTTTGGAAATGGAAAGAAAATGTGGGAATAAAAAGTTAGCTGTAAAATTACTAAAAAACTTCAAACCTCAGCTAAAGTTAAATTACATATTGCTTGTCAAGTTATTTTAAAAGAAATTTTTTCTCTAGTATTCTCAGGAAAAATGTGCAAAATCTTTAAAAATATCAGGAGGAATTTTGAAAAATAAACTTAGACATAAAAGTTTGATTGATTTATTAAGGAATCATAAAGTTGTTCAACAGCTACCTAAATAATTTAGGTGAAAACAATTTTTGAAGTATACTATTTGTTAGTCTTTTTACGTGACATAGCTAATTTTAAGTTTAGAAAAATTTTATTTAAAATAGAACATATATTAAAGGAAAAACTTGCATAGAAGCAAATCTGAAAAAAGCCCTTCCACTTATTGACAATGGACTTGAAGATTTTTTATAATAGATTTTCAACTATTTCATGATAAAAAAAGTAAATAAAATATGTTGGTATTTTTCTATCTTTTTCAAAACATGTTACAGTACGTTAAAACATGTTACAGTACGTTAAAACATGTTACAGTACGTTAAAACATGTTACAGTACGTTAAAACATGTTACAGTACGTTTCAAAACATGTTACAGTACGTTATCCTTTAGTCAAAACATGTTACAGTACGTTATCCTTTAGTCAAAACATGTTACAGTACGTTATCCTTTAGTCAAAACATGTTACAGTACGTTATCCTTTAGTCAAAACATGTTACAGTACGTTATCCTTTAGTCAAAACATGTTACAGTACGTTATCCTTTAGTCAAAACATGTTACAGTACGTTTTCCTTTAGTCAAAACATGTTACAGTACGTTATCCTTTAGCCAAAACATGTTACAGTACGTTTTCCTTTAGTCAAAACATGTTACAGTACGTTATCCTTTAGTCAAAACATGTTACAGTACGTTATCCTTTAGTCAAAACATGTTACAGTACGTTATCCTTTAGTCAAAACATGTTACAGTACGTTATCCTTTAGTCAAAACATGTTACAGTACGTTATCCTTTAGTCAAAACATGTTACAGTACGTTATCCTTTAGTCAAAACATGTTACAGTACGTTTTCCTTTAGTCAAAACATGTTACAGTACGTTATCCTTTAGTCAAAACATGTTACAGTACGTTTTCCTTTAGTCAAAACATGTTACAGTACGTTTTCCTTTAGTCAAAACATGTTACAGTACGTTATCCTTTAGTCAAAACATGTTACAGTACGTTATCCTTTAGTCAAAACATGTTACAGTACGTTATCCTTTAGTCAAAACATGTTACAGTACGTTATCCTTTAGTCAAAACATGTTACAGTACGTTATCCTTTAGTCAAAACATGTTACAGTACGTTATCCTTTAGTCAAAACATGTTACAGTACGTTATCCTATAGTCAAAACATGTTACAATACGTTATCCTTTAGTCAAAACATGTTACAGTACGTTATCCTTTAGTCAAAACATGTTACAGTACGTTATCCTTTAGTCAAAACATGTTACAGTACGTTATCCTTTAGTCAAAACATGTTACAGTACGTTATCCTTTAGTCAAAACATGTTACAGTACGTTTCAAAACATGTTACAGTACGTTTCAAAACATGTTACAGTACGTTTCAAAACATGTTACAGTACGTTTCAAAACTTGTTACAGTACGTTTTCCTTTAGTCAAAGCTAGAACAAAAGCTAGAATATTTTGTAAAAATAAACAAAAAAAATATATTTTTTAAATCTATTTCAACCTAATGTCAAATTAAATGATTGAAGATTAAGAAGTTGAGAAAAATAATCGTGAAGACAAAAAAATAACGACTCAGAACTCAAAATATAAAGTAGATTCTGTAAAACTTCCTTTTTTCTAGCTTTTGTTCCAAATGCTCCTTAAATTCACTACAACGTTTTTATATTAACAAACAGTCTTAATTTAGATAAATCATTTATTTGTAGCTGATCTTAAACTTTGTCAAATAATGTGTAGTTTTTTTCCAAGATAATGGCTACACAACATTGCTATATATGCAAAGTGCTAAAAATTTTAATCAAGTACAATGCTAAAATTTTTAGCAATATTATTAATTTCTCATTCCTTTTTTCTGCCAGAGTTAGACATAATGGAGGAAACTGTATTTTTATAAATATGGTATGTAAACCATATTTACAATCATATGGATAAATGTGGCAATGAAAAAGAAGTTGCTAAAGTTTCAATAAGTCTGAGCATTTCAAAAAAGGTTCAGAACTATGTCTTTCAATTTTTCAAAACTTCAAAGCAAAAAATAACTTAATCTATGTCGAATTGAGTTAACTTTTTATTATTTTGATTTTTAACAGTTTATTTGTAAAAGTTACGATTTGGTTGCTTGCAAAGATTTTTATAAACATTATTTAAGGGTTTTTATTTTATTAGGTTATGATTATTTTATTTTACAAACAAACGTATAAAATTATTTTATTGTATACAATCTTTTGTTGGCTCAAAAATGTGTGTCTTTTTGAAGTGTATGGTTGAGTTTTAGTTAAAGTTGTGTTTGATTCTTCAATAGTTAAAATAAAAATCTAAAAAAAGTCTTAAATTTGTCTTCATTAAAAGTTCAAGTCATAAATTTAGTTTGATCTATTCTTGAGAGTGGCTCCTAGATTCTATAAGAAAAAAAATTCCCCCCAAAGAAGGTGATTTTCAAGTTATAGTTGGTTTTTTGACATATTTCAGTTGGGTGAATTTTTGTTTTGAGGATCTTTTTTTTTTTTTAAATGCCAGTCGAGTACATTTTAAGGATTTACCCCATTTTGAAGAAATTCTAAGTTCTAAATTCGCTAGGCAGAAACTTACGCTTCTAAATTCTATATTTATTTAGAAGTTTAAGCTTCTGATTAAATAGTCTTAAGCTTCCTATATTCACCGTACCCCTTCGACGCCTACCACCGTACCCCTTCGACCTTTCTGCGAGTACATTGGCTAGTGGAGCCGCGCCACTGGCAGAAAAGCTTGTTTTATTTTATGTTATTTTAATTTATGTTATTTTAAAATTTTAAACAACTTGGTTAAATTTTGTTTTGAACAAAAACTACATCATGACTATCAAACGCATTTTAAAAACTTCAAGGATTACTACAGACCACTTGTTGAATAACTGTTTTGGTGAAAAATTTATGATATTTCAAAACATTTAGGTGCTTTTTATCCAGTAAGAGTGCGTGGATTCGGTAACTACTCTAAACAAGCTGTTAAAACAATAAGTTAAAGTTTTTTTCAATGAATCTTAGAACCGATTCAAAATAAAACAGCCTATCTGCTGAATATTTAAAAAAATATGTAAGCAATTTTAATGGAATAAACCTTGTAAATATAACAAATGCTCCTGCGAATATATTTGAGTTTTTAACTTTACTTAAATACAGTTTTTTAATAATACTGTCCATAAAATATATTGAATTTATAATTAAGGAGTATCAAAATGATATAAAACAACTAATGTGCGTAGCATGGGTTTGTGTTTTACAAATGATACATTTATGAACGCCATATCAAATATTATATTCAATATTACGACCGTCTCATTTTAGGTAAAAGCCTAAAATTACTATAATTTTTAAATTTTAGGCTTTGATGATATATCGGAATCTACGATCTACACATCGCATCAAATCCAACGATAAATGACAACTTCCGGGGTAAAACTAAAAAGTGGTTAAAGGCGTCAAATTAAATAAAGCATTTAGTTCCGATCAAGAAAACTTTGGACAACTTTGCTTGCAGCAAATCAAAAGATAAATATATGTTACTTGCATTTTAAACCCAATTGCATTTAACTCAAAAAACCGTATAACGTATTGTTTATCTATGGCCGTATTCTCACCTCTCCGTCAAGCTTAACAGAGCTTTTGTCAAAAAGTTCTTTTCAACTACATTAAAAAAAAAAATTCTTTAAAAAAATAATTTTTTAATAAAACTGTTTTATTATAGTCTTAGTTTTATTTAAACAAATTCAAATAAAGTTTTTGTCACTTTTTTACTTAGAAATGTTGTAAAGAAATTTTTGACAAACGCTCCGTTAAGCTTAACGGAGAGATGAGAAAACGGCTGCTGGTGAAAACATTATAGTGTGAACACAAAATTAGATTACTCCAAAATATTACGTATGAAGACTTTAAATTGATTGTACACTTGCATTTTTTGAGGAAAACTTTTGAAATCCCTCAAAACGTAGAAAATAAGACATTTTACTAGAAAAATGCAGAATATAGCAATAAGACATTTTATTTCCAAAATAAATGCAAGTGTAAATATCAAGTCGTTTTTTTAATTTTTATACAAGTTAACTGTTTCTGTAAAAAAATGACATGCTTTCTTTTTGTAGGTTTTCTCTTTATTAAAAGAACTTCAACATTGCTCATTTTAATTTAATATATATTTTATTTTAATAGAAAAAATAAAGATTTTTTGTTAAAAAATAAAGACACCCGACCGCTTTTGTGCCTGATGCAAAATATGATTAGTTTTATTTTGTTTGCAATAAATGAGCAATATATTATTTACGTTTCAACTCAAAAAAACTTGATCAAACCTATAAAAAAATACTTTTTTTTAAAATATCAATACTTATTATATATTTCAATACCAAACGCTACGGATATCGAAGTAGTGTTTGATTAAAAACAACAGTTTAAATAGTAATATGTAGATTCTTGGTAACAACTATTTCAAATATAGTAGAGCTAACTTTCAAAAATATAGTAAAAAACTTTATATATTGGATAAAACTAGTTTATTATTGAACAGCTCGAGATTAAAAAAAAAAAAAAATCAATATTGAAGGACCATTTTGAAGTAGGTACATCGAACACTTGTGAACAGTAACTACATACGCAACACTTTAAAGCAGCAAACAGAGAATTCTTCAAACAAGTTTCACGAAAACTAGCATTTTATTAACGTTTATAAAAATTTTGATAAATTTTTAAATTTATTTTCAAGATATCCAGTAAGTGTATATCGAGGAAGCAATTCAGGTGAAGTTGTTACTGGTAGTTCAATTTCTATCAAGGTCGTCGTTTGTAAACGAATCTCTAAAGAAAAGTTATTAAAAATCATAAGCAAATAAAAATTATAAAAAAAATCATGAGCAAAAAAGTACAAATACAATTGTATAGACAGCACAATGTAAATAAATAGTAGTATAATTTGTGGCCAAGTAAAAGCATAATTAGTGGTAGATATTTAATTGGATAAAATATTGTAGATAATATGTTAGATAAGATATAGTAGATAATATGGTAGAATAAAATATAGTAGATAATAGGGTGGATAAAATATAGTAGATAATATAGTAGATAACATATAGTAGATAAAATGGCAGATAAAATATAGTAGATACTATGGTAGATAAAATATAGTAGATAATATGGTAGATAAAATAATTAATAGCAGCATAATAGGTGGTAATTAACAGTAGCATAATTAGTGTCTATGCGAGGACACCAAGGCTGATTGATGAGACTTCTTTTGAAATAAAATTGTTAGTGAAACCACCTAGAGAATTAATAACAATGTAAAATTTAAAACAAAGCATAATAACATATCGCTTTTGTATTTCTTCTTAAAAAAAACTATAACAAAAGAAAACGAAGATGTTTTAATTACTATATAATTTATAAAATAACATTGATTTAGTTAAACTTAGATTTACTTGAAATGTAAATTTGAAAAACTAATCGAATTTCATACGTTAATATTATTTATGTATGTAGCTAAAACAAATTTTTGCGTCTAAAAACTTAAAAGCTAAAAATAAATTTTGCGAAAGATCTTTAAATATATTTATTTTTTGAATTTAAGTATACTTTCGCGATTTTTGACTCGAATCGCAAAAATTTCTTTAGCAAAAATAACTTCTAGAAAACCTTTTATTAAAATAAATTCCAATGAACTTTCATCACATAGTTAGCGTGATACAAAATTTTGTAAAACATAACCATAACTAGGGAAAAGATGCACCAAATAACAACGCAGTTACATTTTCTTTATTGTGTTTTTCTCCTAGAAACCTTTTTAGAATTTCATTTTGAAAAATAACTCAACCATATTAACAGTTAAAGAGAAAAAAGCTTGGTAAAATGAAAAAAACGTCAGTTTCTATGTTTACATTAAAAACAACTTTTCCATTATACAACCTATACACAAGATTTAGAAATTCAAAAACTTGAATTAAAAAAACCTTCGCACCAATTTTATATAAATAAAAAATTTGAGAGAGCAGAACTGACTAGTTGATTGACAATAAAAAAAGAAAATAGTTTTTTACTTTTTTAAACATTTGTTGGCCTAAAAATATGTTTTTATATATTGTTTTGATAAGACTGTGTTGCTAAAAAGACTGAAGTTATGTCACATGATTTTTTCATTCATTTTATTTTGAGGGTTCAAATAAAAACAATAGAGTCTGACCTTTTTAAGATAAATAAATATTAATGAGAAACTATTTTAAAACGGTTTACTTCTCTTTTCTCTATACTTTTCATGTTTACTTTTAACTTTTTAAATAAAAATAATATTTCATGTATTTATTTGTTTTGTTTTTACTTGTTTTTAAAAGTTTCAGATGCTTTATAATACTTTTGTACTGACCAACATTATTTATACTATTAGAGGTAATTGTACAATATCTCTAGAATATCAAGGAAAGAACTTAATGCTTGCTAAAGAAAGCTAGTCTTCATTTACCAGGTTCATAGTGTGATTATTTCATAAAACACACAATGTTTTGATCTTTAGAAACATTTTTTGGATTCTTTTCTGAGCTTGGTGCATACATTTAATTTTTAGTTTAGAATATTTATTTCAACTATATTAACACAACTCCATCAGTTAAAAAAAAAACAAACCAATATTGATTAAAAGATGCTTTAGGTTCAGAAATAAAGCAATACCAATGTGGTGTTGGATCTTTTATTAATGCTAATTGCTAAAATGATCATTCAATTGATAACTTTGCTTTATGTCCTTTTTCCATCCAAAAGGTAACTTCTATGTTCTTTTTTTGTTTAAATAATGATTGCAAAGTAAATACTTTTTATTAATATTAACAAACTATTAATATATATATCATTTTTCACCTGTTCAATATTAAATTTGCAATTTAAAGTATTTTTTATAAAAAAGATGTGTGAAACACATGACTGTTATCTTGTTATTTATACTTATGTAACAAATATACTGATACTAGTAACGTTACACTTACGTGAAACTGGAAGTTCAAAGAACTGACATATAGCATAGACCAACATGCGATCAAATCTGTAAAAAAAAAATTTGCATGTTAAAAAATCAAAGATACATAAAAATCATAAAAACTCAAAATAAATAATATATATATATATATACATATTTACATATATATATATATATATATATATATATATATATATATATATATATATATATATATATATATATATATATATATATATATATATATATATATATATATATATATATATATATATATATATATATATATATATATACACACACACATATATATATATATATATATATATATATATATATATATATATACACACACACACACACACATATATATATATATATATATATATATATATATATATATATATATATATATATATATATATATATATATATACTGTATATTAGGGTGTCCCAAATTTATACTTTTTTTTTAATTTCTATGTGCACGCAATTTTTTCCCATTCTCTAGTGTCCCCTGATTGCAAATATATAAAAAAAACATTGTCAGACCACAATTTCAGCAATATGTAAAATTCCATTTTTTGTTAAAAACCAAAATTTTATACATTTTCCTAATAAAAATACTAAAGTGTGTCAAAAAATGTATATTTCAAGAATAATAAGTTATATATTTTTTAACTGGGACTTGGAAAGATCTTTTTTAAGCTTCTTTCTATTGTCCCTGGCCACTAGCATTAATTTTTGTTGCATACTGTCAGATTTATATCCACCTTTAAAGTCCTGATATATACATTCTTACCCTGAGAATAACCTTATCGATTATTCTCAGGGTAAGAATGTATAAAGCATCAGCCATAAACCTAGAGAGTAAGATTTTGTCACCATTAATATTTATTTATTATATTCTTTTATTTATATGTTATTTATTATACTTAACTTTTTTTCTTTTAATATACTGTACCTAGCTTCATGGCAGGCTCCAGGTTGATGAAAACACAGTACAGGTACTTCTCCTCCCAAATAGAAAACAAAAAGCTCGCATAGTTTCCTGTAATCATTCCTCACAAAAGTTTTTGAGGCAAGGGCCTCTTTTCCAAACTCCAGAGCTTTTTTAGCAATTTCATAAAGAGGTGACTCAACCTGAAGCTGACTCCAATCAAACCTTTGAGAAATAATCTTGTTGCTTCTTAGAGCAATTGCTACAAGCTTAGAGCTATTGCTACAAAGGATTGTTTGGCACCAGAAAGAGTTACAGCTCTTGTTTCAAATAAAGCTCCTTCAAACAGTTCAATTAATTCAACTTTATAGTGGAAGGAATTTTTCAGCAACACAAGGTATGAGTTTAGTTTAATATAGTTCAAATTGATGACAGGTTAAACTTTGAACATTTTGCATTCATTATAGGTTCATCATCAGCTAAACACTTTTTCTTCACAAATTTATCAATAACTGTAAAAGACCTCGCTCAAGTTCAAGCAAACACAGGACTTTCAAACAATGGCATCGCAGCTACTATTTATCAGTCAACCTTACAACAGATTGTTGAAAAAAATTACTTCATAAAATTTGATGAATTTAGCAAGCAAGGCAAAGACTTCCATTAGCTTTAAAATGAAATTATTGCCATGAGAAGTATGTCGAAAAATCATATTGTAAAGGTTGGATTTTATGAAGGAGGGGGTTCCTGAAAGTTAGCATGGGAGTTGTTGAATTAAATTATAAACCTAGCATTGCCTCAGCAAAACTTTAGCGCACAAGCAAAGTTTTTAACAACACTGGTGTCAAACAACAACTCATTATTGCTGTCTCTTCAGGAGGTGCTTCAAGCTTCAGGAGGAGCTTCAAGAAAATTAAACTAACATTTTGCATGAATTTGAGTTGATTATTTTGTAAGCTTAGGAATTTAACCATCCAGTGTTTTTCCGTGAAAGATTTCATTGACAAACATGATCAAGCTCTTAGGTTTTACACAGAACAGACAACAGAAGCAATGCACCACAACATTCAGATATATTGCCAAAGGTACAAAAGGCCCAATCATTATCCACAATACAGTAAGTTACAATGTTGCCTTGTTGACTTCAATAACAAACAGTAGTTTAAGAAGGGGTTTAAAAATGAATTGTTATAGAATTTGTTCCATGTAAAAGAAACAATTTTTTTTGTAAATATATTTTATGTTTATGTTTGTTACTTGTATAACTTCAAGAACAAATTTTGTTTTTAAATTGGAGACTTTTACTACTGTAAAAAGATCTATCATCTTGTCAACCTCTTTTTTGAAAAAACACCAATTATTCTGGAGTTTGACATACAGCCCTTTTCTTGGGCCCTTCGTCTTCTCTCCAGTCAAAGCCTCCATAAAGTGTGAGATGTGTATTTCTAGCATATGTCTTCTACAGAGAAACCATATAAGTGGAACATTAAGAATGGAACTAAGGATAACAACAGCTCCGGAAAGTATTTCATTATTGGATGCAGTCGTGTCACAGCAAACAGAAAATATTTGATCTACAATGTCATAGTATTCTAGCAAATTCAAAATTGCTTCAGCCTGGTCATTACCTTTAGAACTTGGTGTCTGAACAACACCTAGCAGTATGTCATCTGTGTCATCCATATCAGGGGATGTAACACTAACCGCTATTCTTTCTACAGAAACAGTTATTTTTAGATCTTCTTCAATCTGTTTTATCCCTTTTCCATCAAAATGAACACATAGCTTTTTTCCCTTCAATGTAGCTATAATTTCTTGCCTGAACTTATCTCCTAATATCTCAATTTTTTTGAATCTTTTTCTATGAACGGTACTTCTTGATAGATTAATATCTTCTAGATTTACACCAGCTTTATTGCAAATAGCAGCTACTAATGAAGTTTGTGGGCGTATACCTACTCTGAATCGGGCAGAAACTGCAGCAGTACAGTCTACCAGATCTTCAGCACTTATACTTATCATTATCTTAGATTTAGTAGAATGACTGAATCTATTAGGTAATTTTTCATCATCTGAAGAATCTAAACTAAGTTCCGATTCAGAATCATTTCCAGATGAATAAAAAGAAGCTTCAAGTTTGTTGGATTTTACTGCATTAATTGTGATACTACTTTTATCTCTTGCTTCCTCCATCCTCTTGAGCCAAATATTTTTATTTTTAACTGAATTTTGTAATACTTTATCCAACTCTACTGAAATATACATGTTTCGCTCTCTTTTTTGATCTAGATAAAACCGAATACCCTGCTTTTTAGCATTCTCCGAACGAAAACAATCATGATTTACTTTTTGTTCAAAATTTGCCCATGAAATATCAAAGAGTGTATTACTCTCCTCTAAAAACTCATTCTGTATTTTAGAGAAGTTGCCATCGCTAGAGTTCCAATTCAATGATTTGAGATGATGCAGATTTATGTACTTACTATGGAGCTTCAGTATTTTATCTCTACATATTTCCGATGGTTGCCAGCTGGTTTATTGGAAGCTCATTGATTGTGTACTTTAGAAGAAACAGCAGCCTTCTTGGATTCGTTGACATGCTGTACTTTCTCTTCTCAGCCTTTATTTTTTTGTTTTTTTGAGTACGACCCATTTTATTTAATACTTTTATTATTAGTTAATGCTAAAACAAATTTTTAAAAATTTATTCTAGTGTCCCCCTAAAAAAATTACATTTAACTATACAATTTTCAAGTAAATAAATGTATATTGAAGGTATTCATAACTATTACATAATTATATTTGAAAAAACAAGTTCATATTTAACTTCTAATTATTACTAGAAGCGGTTAAAATCAAAAGAATAGACAAAATCCTGTTAAAACAAAACAGTATACATAAAACACAAAGGTTCCTCAACTAGTCATCATTATCGACCCCCACTGTAAATCATGCTCGAATGAACCTTCTGTACCAAATATAGACTTATTCTTATATAGTCTAAAAACATTGGTTTTCTAAATTCTCTAGGGTAAGGAACATTAAAAAAGTAAAATTATTGGAATCTAAAAAAAGGTAAAAAAAAGCTCAAATTTTATCAAAAATTAAGAAATTGAGATTTTACATATAGCTGAAATTGACCTCAGAAAAACTTTTTAGTCATATATATGAACTCAGTAGACATAAAGGAATGGAAAAAACATGCGTGCAAAAAAAAATTTTTTTTGGGACACCCTACTGTATATATTATATATATATATATATATATATATATATATATATATATATATATATATATATATATATATATATATATATATATATATATATATATATATATATATATATATATATATATATATATATATATATATATATATATATATATATATATATATATATTATTTATTTTGAGTTTTTATGATTTTTATGTATCTTTGATAAATTTTTTATGTATAAATTATTATGTATAATACATAAATACTACCAAGGAACTACAACTATTTGCAAAGAACTTTTCATCTAATTTATTGCTTGAATCTAATGACCACACTTTTTTTGTCATTCCAGAACAACAGATTAACTCATTGTTAAGGCGAGTTTCCACTCATCCGTTTTTTCACGGGAACGGGAAAGGGACGGAAAAAATAATCACATGGGCATGCGTAGTATAAGTTTTAATACGCCTGAAGGAAAACTACGCATTCTCACGTGATTATTTTTCTCTTTCCTATCCCGTTCCCGTGAAAAAACGGATGAGTGGAAACTCACCTTTAGACATGCTAAATTTATTCCTCAATAAAACTTTCTACAGCTTGTGATCCAGATAACATTCCAACCATCTTACAACCATGGTCTTACAATCTTACCTCTTACAAAAAAATCTTACCATCTTACATCTTACCTCTTACAAAAGCATATTTTAGAACTCTATTCAATATTTTATTAAACTTGCTGTAATAAGTACTTACCATAAACTTTTTTTCCTGCCTGCTCGGCTGTTTCTTCTAATGATGCTCTTTTTCTGCTGGATAATTTCTAGCAGAAAAAGAGCTCTTTTTCTTTTTTCTGCTGGATAATTTCTTCTAATGATGCTCTTTTTCTTCAAGACAAAATCAAAAAATGCATTGTAAATTTTGTTGGAACTGATAATAAATTAAATGATCTACAAATCATTCGAACTATTTACTGCAGAGTTTTTTAAACAATTATTTTGATGAGAAATTTATGGAATTAACTTGTTAGGTGAACAGCTAAAATTTAAAAACTATTTAATACCAGTCCTTTGTTGGCTAAAAATCAATAATGTCTATGACTTTAGTCTCAGCCGGTCCTTAGATGATTGAGATAAAAACAAAATATTATAAAAAAAAAAAAAGACAATATCATTATTCTCATAAGGATAATTTTAAAGTGGAAATTTTAAAAACATCTTTCAATCAGATTGTTTCAAAAAAACACTTTGAAACACAAAACGAATAAGGATGCTGCACGAAGAAACAAGATAAGCGCTGTACTAATAGGGACATGATGGGGATCAAACTCAGATATAACTATAATCTGAACATAGTCACAACTATTTTTGTAATTTTAATGGTTTGTACTTTCATACCACTCTTTTGGTACATAAAATTTCAAATTAAAATAATTAAACTTAATTACAGAAATAATCAAACAATTTAATAACATAAGAATTTTAAAAAAATTACTTTTCCTCAAGATTGAAAATTAACAAGGACGGAAACTCATCTTCCATGCAAGACATTACATCATTTTCATAATACTTCAATAAACCCTTAAAAAGAAAATTCCTAAATCATTTTTTATAAGATAATCAATATATATACAAATAATTAATATACATAAAAATAATCAATATACATACAAACAATCGATATAAACACAAATAATCAATATACATACAAATAATCAATATACATACAAATAATCAATATACATATAAATAATCATATTAAGATGATAGCTACCATGCTTGGCATATGTTTACTTCGTAACATATCGCGAATTTTTTGATCTATTTGAAGATACCTTATATCTTCTGTCTGTAACACACCACTACCTAATTAAATTAATTTAATGATAAGTATATTACATACTTTTAAATAAACTTATATATTCTTAAATCAATAAATAAAAATAAATAACATACTATATAAAACTATGCTATATATATATATATATATATATATATATTATATATATATATATATATATATATATATATATATATATATATATATATATATATAATTTTATTAAGGTGTTCCAAAAAGACCTAATGGTCTTGTCACAGAGCACCACAGAAGTGCATTTAACCGGGAACCTCTTTCCTAACCGTGACGAGAAAATATGTCCAGAGCTCGTTTTGAACCTGGATCTCCTGCTTATTAAGCAAGCGCTCTAACCACAGTGGTTAGAGCTCAATTAAATATATAATGATATAATAAACTTTATATATGTATAACTAAATGTAACAAATTAAAAATTCAACCAATTTAACAGTGGCAACCAATAAAAAAATTTTATTGATTAATTTTGAAACTAATGGGCATTTTTACGGACCATTAGTAATGTTTTTAATTATTTTAAATTTTTATACATAACGTTTTTATAAAGTTGTTCAAGTTTCTTAAGTTTTAAATATTATTTGAATATCCACTCTATTTTCCTAGATGTTTTTCTACCCCAATTAAAATTTGGGATTACTAATGTTGTTTGAACAAAGAATGAATTATAAATGTTATAAAAGCATTGTAAATGTAATAACACGATAACATTATTACTTTTATAATGCAGTTAGTGACTATAGTATTACTACTTTTGTAGTCGTAAGTTTATTGTTTTATTATTTTATAACTTTTTCGCTAAAAAATTTAAGTTGATTCGCCCCTTAAAAGCAAAAAATACGGTTTTGCATAAACTAAAATTTTGAAGATCAGATCTTTTTCGAGATTTTGCATTTTGCAATCGCATAATTCAACCCTTGCGTGTGTATATATATATATATATACACACAACAAGGTGAGGATGGGTGTCAAATTTCTAAATTTTTGGCATACATTCTTTATGGATGACCCTTATGACTAACAGAAACAAAAAGAAACACCTAAATAAATAAATTTTTAATATAAATAATACCAGGCATCAAGTTAGCAGATTGCTTCTGTCTATTTAAATGATTTTCACTCAGTATTTGATGTTGCTCATCATCAGTTAGATTGACAAAACTTTCCCATACCTATAAAGAAACAAAAAAATTTATTGAAATCATCATTATCATGTTAGAAAGAGTGTCATCTTTAAGTAAAGAACTATACAGTGCACATATGTGTAAAAGCTCACAACTGCACTTTCTATTTCATTTAAAAAAAGTGATGCACTTATTTAAAATAAACATACGCATAAAATACACATACAAAAAGTGTACTTTCTATTTTATTTTTAAAAAGTGATGCTGGTAGAGGTGTCATTTTAGAAAGAATTTTTTTGTTTAATCCTTACCATTTCTCAAAGAGAACAGCACTTAACTTATTTTTTTGTACACCACCCTTTTTTGTCAAGGTTCACTTATATTTATATTTCATTTATAGTTTAGTTTAACCTTTATATAATGTTTATTTACTAGTCTAGCTTGTAATGTTTACAAGAGTTCAAGTAACAAGTTTGAAAACAATCAATACTTTTCTAAAACATCTAAAAGTTTCTAAAATATTTTTACATCTAAAATTTACTAAAATATTTTTAAAGTTAATTTTTGATATAAAATTGCATATTAAAAGAACTTTTTTATTCTTTTAACAAAACCTCGATCAAATTTTTTAAACTCCTTATTAGACTGCATACAACCACTATTTACATCAAGAAAGGTTAAGAAGAATATGGTTAAAAAGGAAGAAAATTGTTAACAAGACTATAAATAAAAGCTGCAAATGAATCAGGAAACCCAATGTAGGGAAAGACACTTTTGAGAATAAACATCTTCTCATTTTAAGAAATCAATACAAAACTATGCCAGTTTCTCTTTATATAGACTTTCTATATATAATAACTGAATCTTTTTATCCTGCCTGTTGGAAAACGGCACTTGTGATTCCTATCTTTAAATAAAGATTTCTAATAATCTAATGATTCCTTTAAATATTTTCGACCAAGTCTTCTTACTATTTTAGCAAGCTTTAATTAATTTACTTCTAATATCTCATCTTACTGAAGTCCAACAACTTATTCTGTAAAACACAATGTGTTTATTAGAAAAAGGTTTTGCTAAAAATAGTTAAAACCAAAAAATTTAACAAGAAAATTATGTTTTTGTAAGGTATCTGTTTGTGTAGTTTCAAAATTCAATCATTTTTCCACATGGAATCAAAAACTTTAAATTTTTAAAAATGTGACTAATGTCAATTATCCAAAAGTATGATGATCTTTCTGGCCTATCAAATGGTATCGACATAATGACCTCAATTTGTCCCAAAATTATATATCTAGCAAATGTGACACAAATTTATTTAATTGAAAAATTTTGGGCAAACATGAAAAATTAACTGTCTAAAAGAGGGAAAAATTGGTTACAGAGATCAATTAATTTTATAAAAACTGTTTACAAGTTTATGAATGGTGTCTGCACTAAATGGAGAAAATAATGCGACCAGTTTGAAAATGTTTGAACAAGATAAAAAATCAACAATTTGAGATTTAAAATGATAACTATTCAATCTATTCAGTCTTAAAATATTCAGTCTTGAAATTAAGTCATCTTTTTTGAACAAAAAATGCCGCCAAATGAACAAGTAGCCAAGCTTTAATGTGATATCTCTACTACCAGTTTGGGGCTTGCAGTAGCTTGTAAGCTTTTAATACTCCTACTGAGTCCTCTACTTGATGTCTTCTTGAACTATCATTCAGAATTGACCTCTTATAGAAACCATATACATAATAAGTTAGCATCTGGTAAGTTGCCTCTCTTATTTTACCTGTCTTGCTTAGAAATAAAAAAACAACACTTACCTGTTTCTTATTGCTGATTTCTTTCTCTAGTTCTATAAACTTTTTATCCATCTTTGTATGGATACCATTATCATAATTGGGCTGGTTTTTCTAATGACACTTTTTCTCTTTTAAAAAAGGTTAAAAAACTGTAAATATAGTTAAAGCTGCTCTAGCTGCCAAGCTTGAGCTTCTGTCTTATCTCATTCTCTTTCTACATATACTGATATGGTTGCTGCTTAAACTATTATTTTTTGTTCCGTCAAAATTTAGCAAAGGCAAATTCTTTTACTGTAATAATTCTTTTATGCTCAAAAAACTTTGACTCAATTAGTTTTTTTTATTAAATATCAGTTCTTTAATGAAAAAATGTTTAATAAAAAATTTTCTACCTTCGTATTTTCATGACTCACAATTTACAGTTTTTTAAGTCTTCTGTCAACTTTATGTTCTTGAACACTTCTGTCAACTTTATGCTCTTTAACACTTCTGTCAACTTTATGCTCTTTAACACTTCTGTCAACTTTATGCTCTTTAACACTTCTGTCAACTTTATGCTTTTTAGCACTCTTTTTTACTCCTAACTTAAAGAGTGGTTGCTTGCAATCTTGTTACAAAAATAATACAAAAGATGGGACATAAGATAAAAATAAAAGATAGGACCTAAAATAAAACCTTGATACACCTAAGTTTCCTGGAAAATATTGGACAATTAAAATTTAATTGAACAATTTAACTTTAATTAAGGGTATTAAGTAATTCATATTAAAATTTTTATTCAATGATATTAACAGTTAAAATAATATAAATTTATAAAACTCATTTTAAAAAGTACTAAATAGTATGTCTATATATTGATTAATTTATATGGGTTTTTAGGTCAAAATACCAAAAAGATCTCACAGCACTTATGTTAGTATTTATGTTAGTTCATGTGAATCTTTTTGAGATAAGTTATTTAAACTGTAAAAATCTTTTAAATAACAGATAATATAATAAAAAATACCTTCATTTTTTCACAATCAAGAAAAAGATCAGTAAATGCTGTCACTAACATTTCATCACAAGCCCATTGTTCAGCATCCTCTCCAGCAATTTGTAGCAACTCATTCACTAAGGTTAAAAACCTTTTAATTCACTAAAGTTAGATAAGAAATTAAATGATAGATAAACATTTATATAAATTACAACACCAATTAATATATATTTGAACCAAGAAGTAATGAGATTCTACAAGAAGAAAAAAAAGCAACTTTAAAGCTAACCAAATCGTGTATTTATTTAACTGGCATTTATGCATTATTTCTATATTTGGTTAATGTATGTATTTTACGTTTTCCTTTTAATAAAATTTTAATTTAATTTAATTTCACTTTGAGCAAGCAGAAACAACAACAAAACACACAACATCAGTGCAAAGCATCACAACATCATCACAACATCAGTGCAAAGCATCACAGCATCATCACAACATCAGTGCAAAGCATCACAACATCAGTGTATTCAGCAAAACAACCACAACTATAAACATTTGTAACTATAATCTAGCAAAGATTTATTGAACTTTTTTCAAGCATTTATACTTTATATGGATTAACTTAAATAAGTTTTAATAATCTAAACCCACTAGAATTGAGATGGTTAAAGATGGCAGAATAGTCAGCTTTTGACTAAAAATTTAACCCAAAAAACTGTTAAAAAAACCTGTATAAAAAAACATTTATTTTGGCAAACATGGCATTATAGGTTGATGGTATGGTAGGAATTTAAATTGGGTATGGGTTGTGACATCATGTATAGTCAAAGATCTGCTAAAATAACATGACATCATTCCACACATAAATAGTTTTATAAAAAAAACATGTTGTCAAAATATGTAAGTATCCACAGCATCATCAAATTACTGGTCTATCTGCATGATTATATACTTATATATTAAAAAAATATTTAAACCACCTTAGAAAATGAGTAAAGAAAATTAACATTTTATAAATAATGCGAATTACTTATTTAGCTGATATAAAATGAACCAAAATTTATAAAATTTAATGTTAAAAATACGTGCTGTTTTCCTTTCTTCTCTGATGTTTTATTCCTGATCTTCTCTGATCAATCCCATAATCTCGAAAATCATAGATCCTATTACAAGACTTCAACCTTTTTCTTTTAGAGCATGACTTGAGAGTTACAGTGTTGACAGAAGGTACTTCATATATGAGGTCATCTGTATCAAGTTCATTTCTATTAGTCAAAAGAAAAAAATTTAATTAAACCTTATCTTTACTTAACCTCCCCCCCCCCCCCCATTTCTTTATTTTTCACAATATTTATATACATATATATATATATATATATATATATATATATATATATATATATATATATATATATATATATATATATATATATATATATATATATATATATATATATATATATATATATACATAAATAAAATATATATATAATATATATAAATATATATATCTAAATATATTGTATTTATATATATATATATATATATATATATATATATATATATATATATATATATATATATATATATATATATGTAATATAAATGGGTCACTAAAACAAACATATTATAAACACTTAACATTTATTTCTGTCTTAATTAAACAATACAGTGGGCGGGATATTAGACATATGGTAGACAAATTTTGATCTTTTTCTTTTTACTAAAACCCTTTATATGTCCAAATAATCACTATATATTAAAGATATACTTACTTTTATCATAAATTTTAGTTAAATAGCTGCAAACACTAAAAATTGTTTAATAAACTTTAAAAAAAGCAGATTTATAATTTTTTAACTTTAAATCCTTTAACTTCTTAGAATCGTGAAACTGAATAACAAACTCTCCTATGTTTGTACTGGTGTCAAAAGTATTTCGGTAAACAAAAGTAATAGAGCAACTTGGCATTACTTCTTATCTGGTAGAATAAATTTTTAAAAAATATCCATGGATCAAACTTTTAAAAAAATAAATGCGCATTTACTTGGAAAAAAATTAAAATTTATCGCTCGATTTGAAACTCTATTATCGAATTATCACATGTCCAGGATATTTAAAACAAGTCTGTAGATTGTTTACCATCTCTATATATGATAAATTATAATAATAACATAATAATAACATAATAATAAAAATGTTGTAATATTCATCCTGAATGTGCAGCCAATAGATTAAAAATAAAAAAAGTATATTATTATAAAAAAAACTTTTTTTTTTATTATTATGTTATTTTTTATTTAAACTCTTCTACAGCTTGTAGCTTAAACATGTATCCTATCACATTCTTAGAAAACATGTATCCTATCACATTCTTAGAAAACATGTATCCTATCACATTCTTAGAAAACATGTATCCTATCACATTCTTAGAAAACATGTATCCTATCACATTTTTAGAAAACATGTATCCTATCACATTCTTAGAAAACATGTATCCTATCACATTCTTAGAAAACATGTATCCTATCACATTCTTAGAAAACATGTATCCTATCACATTCTTAGAAAACATGTATCCTATCACATTCTTAGAAAACATGTATCCTATCACATTCTTAGAAAACATGTATCCTATCACATTCTTAGAAAACATGTATCCTATCACATTCTTAGAAAACATGTATCCTATCACATTCTTAGAAAACATGTATCCTATCACATTCTTAGAAAACATGTATCCTATGACATTCTTAGAAAACATGTATCCTATCATTCTTAGAAAACATGTATCCTATCACATTCTTAGAAAACATGTATCCTATCACATTCTTAGAAAACATGTATCCTATCACATTCTTAGAAAACATGTATCCTATCACATTTTTAGAAAACATGTATCCTATCACATTCTTAGAAAACATGTATCCTATCACATTCTTAGAAAACATGTATCCTATCACATTCTTAGAAAAAAAAAATTTCAGAACTCATTCTACATACTATTTAACAAGTAATTAACTTGTTTTTTTTTTTCTTTAAAAAACTCTGGAGACCTGATCCTAAAACTATTTATCAGTCATATTGATTAATAATCAGAGAGGTCATAGTAATCCTCAGAGTTTTAAAAATAGGAATCAAAGATGCTAATTTATAATTTCTAGAGGGAACATAAGACTATAAAAATCAAAGATGCTATTTTATAATCATTAGAGAGAACATTAAGACTATAAAAACAATGTTCTCTGTACCACAAGCTGTAGAAGAGTCCGGGAGAGAAAGAACTTTAGCAGCGGATGCTAGAGTGATTAGATGTCTAATAATTAATAAAGGGGAAAAATTTTTTTTATAAATTTTGACTAACCCTTAGGAAAAGTAATAAGATCAGACCCATATATGGGAAATACTGGAATTGCCCTTTTTAATAAAACTTTTAATGATTTTCCAAGTCTTAGAAATGTTTTAAGTTGTCTGAAACAGTGAGTCAGAAAACAATTCAGAATAATCAGCATTAAATTTTTCAAAAATAACAATATTAGCAAATGGATATAGAAAAAGGGCAATTGAATTATAAACAAGATTAAAACAAAAAAACATTATGCAAATAGCTTTGTTATACATACTAAGGAAAAACACTATATTAACACATTTATAAAAATATAATAAAAATAATGAAACAAATGTATAATACAAATTTAACTTTGTAAAGATAATTTCAATATATTAGGAATGTTCATATTTTAAATATATTATAAAAATATACATATTGCTGTTTTATACTAAGTTTTTAGTAGAAGTAAGAGACCGTAGTAAATCTTTTAGGGCATTTTTTTTATGTAAGAAACAAAATAACTGTCACTGTAGTTATATGGGCAATTACACGTGACTTACATTACCTTTTTTCTTGCAGCATAGCCAATTTTTTAGGGCATTTTTTTATGGAAGAAATAACTGTCATTGTAGTTTTATATGCATTATATGTGACTTAATTTACCTTTTTTCAATATAAATATATTTTTTTAAAGCAACTTTCAATCTTATTTTTGGTATTTTAAAACATTATATTCAGTAAGGTAATCAAGATCTGTGCTTAGTAGAAGAGGGCAAATTAAATGCTAATTAAAATTAATATTTTCAGAGCATTTTTCTACATAAAAAGGAAGATTACTTACTTTCCAATTGTTTTAATTCCAATAAAGCAATTATCATAATCATGTACCATTAGTACATTATGTACTAATTAGAATATAACTTAGTAGCAAATAACGCATAATTAGTACATAATGTAAATTATAAATAATGTACTATATTGCATTAAGATTTAAAAAATATATATATGCTGTTTTTGTAATAAAAGACTGGTCTAAGCACAATTAGTTGAACTTGTAGTTGACTACTCAAATAGTCAAAGTACACACAAACTAATTGCATGTCATTTTCTCATAGTTGACTAACTAGACTCTTGTTAGCTATATCTAGTCACTAGAGATAGCGACAATTCTATAAAGTCTTTTAACTTTATATTTTGCTTGGCTTTTTTACTTCTTGAAACTTTAACTCCATCTGATGAAAATATTATTAAGTTTGTGTTTAATTTTGTAGACACAAATTTAGGTGGAAAAAATTAGGTAGTTATTGTTGTAAAACTAAACTAGAAGTTAATAAATTTAAATCACACTGCGTTGGTTAAACTTTTTATTATGATCATAAATTTTACTTAATTATACTGACTAAATACTATTTGATTGTAAAACAAAAATTTATTTGGCTAAATCTTATGATTTTGATCGCTCATTGAAAAAGGGATCTTTATAATTAGTGAGTATGATGAATTTATATTTTTAAAATTTAATTAAAAACTTACATGAAATCTACACTAATTCTATCTCTGCATTCTAAAATTCCAGTGAAATTAAGTACTCCCATTATAGTGGTCAGATACAGTAAACTTGATGATTGTTTACAGCAAATAAATTTTTCTTGGTAGTCAATAAATATTTACAAAATAAAATATAATTTAAAAGAAGGTGGCCATTACGACTATGGTCTCACCTTTTTTATAAATAAAATTGGCTTTAGGGTATACGTTGCGAGTCCGTAATCTTGTATCAGTAGATCTCAAATTACAAGTTACGGTGAAACCGTAAAAAACGAAGAATAAAATCAATATTTTTTTATAAAGATGAAAAATTGCCATTCAATCAGTATACTTTTGGGTTTTCAAAAAAATGCAGATCGGCACTTAAAGTTTTAGGTGCAATTGAAAGTTTTATCTTATTCTTTATTTCATTTAAAAAAAAAGTTTAATTTCTTTTTAACATTTTTTGGTATTTTCATTTCTCAAATACTTTTTTATCTTTTAGAACCTTACATTCTTTTCCTATTTATTTCGAATTACTTTTAAAACTGCATCTGTTACACCAATCTATAAAAAGAACTAAAAAGTTGGTAGCGATAGCCCCAGAATAATATCGTAAATAACCAATATCAGCAAAGTTCTTGAAAAATCCTATTCTAAACAATCCTAAATGTTTATTTGACCCCAAGTTCGGATTTCTTCTAAAATACTTCACTTCTCATAGTGTTATTGGCATATAGTTTGCCAATAACAGTATGAAAAATGGAGTATTTTAGAAGGAAAAAAACTGTTATTTATGGCGTAATAAATAGTTTTTTTTTTTTAGTTTATAGTGTGTTTATTGATTGCTCATAAATTTTTAACTAAAAAGTTATATCACTATGACATACTGAGTAAAGCTGATGATTAATTTTGATTGAATGTTAAAAATGCTACTCAGTGTGAGTTGATTTATTGTATAAAGTTCATAGATAAATTTATTAAACATGGGTCTCACACAGCAATGCTCTTAAAATTGTTTTCGATGTAAATTAATAATTCATCTTATTTAATAAATACTTTTATTGAACATTATTTTGCTGTAGATAAATTTTATCAATTTTTTTTAATGGAGGTGGGCATATTAACGTGAAAATTAAAATTAATGGTAAACGACTTTTACCATCTAAATATATAAACTTTCTGAGTATTTTTAGAAAGTAACTTATTAAGATCTTATTATCTAAATCATTTAATTAAAAAAATCACACATGCGAATAGTCTGATATCTTTAATTCATGTTTTTAACCGATATTAAAATAAAACCAATTTACTATTCCACGTTTTCATCTTGACATAAAGTTTATTGAAATGCTTGTTGTCAGAAAATTAATTAGTTTTTTTTTTTTTTTTTAATTATAAATTAGTTTAATTTTTCACATCATATATTAGCTTAATTTTTCACATCAAAAAAAATCATGAAGTTTTTTCCTATTCAATCTATTATTTAAAAAAAGAAAATAAAAAATTTCATGATCATGTGAAGCCAACTAACTGTATTTTTATTTTTGATTTTCTCCAGAATCATTTAAATTCGTTTATTAATTTTTTTAATAAAACATACAAATTATATATTATATAAATAAATATAGCACTCGAAATACAGAATATGGAAAGCTGTACTGATCAGTTGCTGAAAAGTTTTTTCAGAACAGGCATGAAACCATTTAATTTTAATGTGGCTTGCACTCAAATGCGCATTTTTTTTAACAGCTGCATAATATAGTGTAGAGCGGGGCATATAGGGACACTTAAGAAACATATGCTAGTTGCTGATAAAATAATCATAGTTAACACTGTTTTTTATAAATTTTCCAAAATTCAGTGATATAAGAACATGAAAAAACAAAAAAAAATTCTAAAAATAAGTTACTAAAATCAAAGCACCAAAACTCTAGACTAGCAAAACTTTTACATTTTGCAAGTGGGTTGGGCAAAACAGGACAGTTAAAAAACAGCAGTTATTCGTCGATTATAAAGCTTTAAAAATGATAAAAAATGAAAGCTATCTATCACCTAAATATTTTCAGACATTAAACTCTCAAAAAAATAACATACCCATAGAAACTGTGTATGGGTGTACACCCATATACAACAAGAAAGAAATAACAGCTAAAATAAACATACTACATACAATATACCATATGTATCAGCACCTTTTATGATTCTAAGTTACTTTTTACTCACATCTAAAACTGCAATTCATCCCATTTTGGATGATTGATTTTTCTTGCATAATTTCTTACCTTCGTTGCTTACATTAAACACTATTGTTTTTTTAATTTTTTGTTTGTTTTTAGGTGCCCCAAGATATCCTTACGGTCTTAGTACAGAGCACCGCGGATAAGCATATAATCGAAAGTTCACGCCTTCTTCCTAACTGATGTCGCAAAACTTGCTCTGAGATGGGGTTTGAACAACGGATCCTTTGTTTCTGAGGAAAGTGCGCTTCTGCTGCGCCACGGCTGCTCTATTAATAATTGAAGTTAAGTTATAAAAAAAAAGAATTTCTTTAAATTTATTACTTAAATTAAATTTCTAAATAATAAAAAATATATTTTAGATTTAAAATAAAATCATCAAACTGTAAACAAAATGGTAATAATATAGTCAATTATATAAATAACTTGTTGTCCCGATATGCCACACAAAAGTCATTTTACTGAAAATTATACTAATCAAAAAATTCAAATCCAAATATTTTTTTTTAAAACCAGATTCTAAAATAGGACAAAAAATATTTTTTATAAAAATTTTTTTTTAGACAGTATATACTGTCTGAAAAATATAAACTTTTTATAAATAAAGCAAATTCGCAATAGTTTAAGATAAATATTTTGTCGTTGTATCGCTTAAGAAAATACGCAAATTTTGTTTTTCGCAAACTTGCTAATGCATTTTGGTACTTTTACTGCATTTTTGTATTTCTAAAACTAATTTTTTTTTTACAATAATAAATTACAGTAATTTAAAATAATTTATCAAAAAAAATATTTGATAAACAAAATTTTTTTAGCTGAGATATATAGCTCAGGCATAACTGTCCCGTTATGCCCCGCTGTTCCGAAATGCCCCGCTCTACCCTATCGCTTTTTACAAGCTAGGTGGACAAAAGACAGCGGATAAAAGTCAAAAAATTGACTAATTGATAATATTTTTACATTTAAAGTCTCGAGTTGGTAATAACTTGCGGTGTAAATTATGAAAAACATTCCAGAGCAATGAGTAATAAGCTAATCAATAGACATTAAAGTATAATTTTATTTTAAATTTAGTTAAAAATTTACAGCATTTGTAAGACCATTAAACAAGGTTTTATGAAAAGAATCATTTTATTGTATGGGTTTTACTTCAGAGGGTAAGTACTATTTAATTAGATGATATATTTTATTTAATAGAGAAGCAAAATGTATAAGAACATGGCTTGAAGAACTGCGCTAAAATTGTAAAATCTTTTTTTGCTTTTAATTTTTCAATCAATACAACTTTTTGTATCCAAGCTCATTTTTTGTATCCAAGCTCATTTTTTGTATCCAAGCTCATTTTTTGTATCCAAGCTTATTTTTTGTATCCAAGCTCATTTTTTGTATCCAAGCTCATTTTTTGTATCCAAGCTCATTTTTTGTATCCAAGCTCATTTTTTGTATCCGAGCTCATTTTTTGTATCCAAGCTCATTTTTTGTATCCAAGCTCATTTTTTGTATCCAAGCTCATTTTTCCACGTTAATTCACAATTTTTGTAATTTAATTTTTATCAGATCATAGTCACCTTTTTTCAAAAATGGAGTTATTTGAAGAATGGCGGAAATATAATCAATAAGAAAGAAATTCTCGGATTATAATTATTGGATTTTATTTTGCTAAGACTTTATTATTGATGTAACTGATGTAGATTCAGAGAGATTTTTGCAATTAAAAATTTTACATATGGCATTAAAATGCCATACGTGAAATTTATTATCATCATAAAATGGTCTGCAGCGCATATGATGATAGACAGTTTTTAAACAAGAATAAAAGTTGGTTAGAGGAAGCAGATGAAGAATTCGGAATAAGTATATATCAGCAATGGCCTTTTTCATCTTATGGAAAAATTCAAGGACGCCCCAATAAAACTTTAATGACTCATCCTTTAAAACAAAAAAACGGATGGTTGAGACTTGTGCCTAAATTAACCTTCAAGCCCTACTTGATAAAACTACTGAACGCCAAATTGAAGCTCAGTGCAAAGATCTTTAAAATCGTACAACGTCATTCACATTAATTAGCAAATAGGGATGTGATGGGAGCAACGGTCACAGCACATATAAACAGAGGTTTACAACCTCTGATGCTACTGATGAGTTTCTGTTTGTATTTATTTGTTTCGTTGAAACTGAGTGACGACCAAAATATCGTTTACTCAAAATTGTTACTCAAAAATAGAAAATAGATCAAAAAAACTATTTATTGACGGTAGGTAGTTGACTGGAAAAGTTTATTGTTTTAAAACGTTTTTTTTGCCATTTGAAAATTTTATTTATACACGATTACGCAGCAAAAAATGTCTCAAGATCTATAGGTGAAATTACAACGAAGTTTTTAGGATATATTCATTATAGTCATATTCAGGAGTTGTACTAGTTCCAATGTAAATCAGTTCATGAAATATTGCCTTTCATCTGACACCCGCAGCTGGTTCAATAAATTTGCCTTTACTCATAAACTATATGCATACAGACGATTTTAGCGCAACGCCTCCATCAATATGGGACCTATGTTGTTGTAAGTTTTAAAAAAAAATAAATAAGCCTCTCTTGAAATATTGCCTTTCTGCGTATTTTTCTTTTTCTGTTTATAGATTTGGGTCAGCGAAACGAAAGAAAATTTGTTTCGTTAATTATTGTTTAAAGTTTGTATATTTTAGTTTTTTAAATATAAAACTTCTAATTTGCAGTTTTTTAATACATTAACTAAAATTTTGTTAACAGCTTTAGTAGCATTTTCACAACACTTTCATCTGGCTATTACATTAATTATTATGAATTTGAAAAACGTTGTTTTGAAGCAAAAACTCTTAGGGTAAAATAGAAGAAGCGAACTTGAAATTTAAAATCATGCTTCAAGTCTGAAACTTGATTTCAGCAAATGTAAGGAGCGGAGTTGAAGTCAAGCTATACTTAAAAACCAACCGTTTTCAAGTTAGACTTGGAAAACAAAAAGCAAAAACTTTATCAAATAA